GGGGGGGGGGGGGGGTACTGAATTGGAGATTGAGCATCCTCTAGTTCAGGTCAATATTAAGAATGGAGTATGATTGGGTCCTCTCTGTAAAACGGGCTGTAACCTGTGTGTAGCTGAAGTCGTATTCTTGGCCATAGGTGGCCCCACTGAAAAAACAAGAGACTCACCCTCTGCCCTAAAAATTCGCTTGATTTCAAGCAGGTTTGCTGATACTGGCAAGTGGCACAACACTTAAACAGTTTTTTTAAAAACAAAAGATGCAAGAGGATAAAATAATAAGTAATAAAATGTGAATAGAGAAAACTTACTAGTAGAAGATGAGCTATGGTTTTCTTTTTTATGAACTTGTAATATTTCTGGATCTGTGGTACAAAAGTCGCAACCATTATCTTTGCATTCTTGCAAAACTTGATTATGAATGAAAATGCAGTGAGCTTCCATGTCTGATCGTACTTCAAATGACTGAGAACAATGACGACATGAAAACTGGGGCTTCAGAAAACTAGGAAGAGAATTTCATTTTAGTCTTTGGGTTAGATAAAGCAGGTAAATAATATTATGTCTGTTTAGTTTTAAACCAACAGAGAGAAAATACGCAAATACATAAATAAATAAAAAATTACGGACTAAATCTATAAGATAACGATAATCTATAAATTACTTCTCCTTTTATTTAATTAATTTTCCTAATTTCAAATTCACTAATAACTGTTTTTTAAACATCAGGCCTGACTTTTTCTGAACTTTATACTGCATTAAAAAATCAGTCTTTTTCTTATTCCGATCTACTTTTCTTCACCCTCCCTTCTCTTTTGAGTAATTTAATGTTTGTTCTGTTTTTGTTTTTTTTAATGTAAAATATTACAATGAGTCCATTTTTAGGATAAAATATTTTGTGAAAGCTCTGTTAACAGATTTATGTTGATCCTCAAAGAACATTCGGAGATATTTTCATATCGGTATCTGGTTACCGCAACTAAAATCAAGTTTACCCTTCCTCTTTTTATGGTGTTTTTTTATTGTTTGTTTCATCTAACACTGCCTAAAGATTGCAAATCTTGCCATTCACTCTCATTGCTCAACTTGTGCTATGTTGTTACTCTTAACAGAGTTTTAAAAAAATAATCTTTCCCACTATTATACAGTAAACACAGTTTTTTAATAAAAAAAACTTCAAAAATAAGTTTTTCATATCCTATACAATATATACAATCATATCAAACTTTCCCTTATAATTTTGTAATACTAGATGAAGCAGCATGCTAATTTTCACATCAGATACAATTCTACGTTAGGTAGATACGAAATACCTATTATAGTCATCTCTAACACAACGGTTAAGTTATTAGATTATGTATTAAAAAAAAACACGCACATGCAACAAATAAAAAACAGATAGTTATTGTTGTTGATAAAACTGAGTCCAGTTAAAATGAAGAGCTTAAAGGAAAGAACCTGTTGCACTCAGTCTCGGCAAGTTTTTTAACAGAACAACCATTACATATTTAGGTACCGTATATTCCGGCCTATAACTAGCACTTTAAATACAAAAAATAACATTGGAATTTACGGGTGCGAGGTATATGCCGAATATAAAAAATTATAGATTAAAAAAATTTAAATATATCTTAAAATTTAAAAAAAGTATTAGAAATTACAGGTGCGCTTTATGCGCCGGAATATACGGTATGTTTGCGTTGTTTCTTTACAAACAACATGTTTGAATGAAAAAAAATCTATTACCATACCTGCAAACTTTAGAGAAATAAAATAACAGAGATTTTACTGAAGACATTTTATGGGATATGAGTGACGTTTTGATACATCAGGCATAATTATGTAAGTCAAAATTGAATGTAATACAAGCATTTACATTTAGCAAAGTAAAAAATATGTATATAAATCTTAATCTAAAGTCCTGTGGCAGAATTTTTTCCAGTTTTCTGCAACAAACTTCTCTAGTATTAATATTTTTCTTTAAGATACTTTTAATTATAACAATTACTAATTTAAAGTAACAAAAATGTGTTTGCAGAAGAAGGTGTAGAATAAAAATGTGTAAAAATTTTCAATTGAAAAAGAAATATTTTTCTAATTCTAATATATAAGCGCTTTCTCGCATTTTGTAGGGGGAAATATACACTAATTATTTCCTCTTTCCAATTTTGTAAATCATTACAAAAATTAAAATTCATAAATAAATTAAAATTTGCACATAAATTAAAAATCGTAAAATCCATGCAGTAATTCCAAAATAAAGATCGACGACGAAATCCAAGCGAATATCAAATAAGTGTTTGTAAAGCATGGTGTTCTTTAAAGAAAAAAAAATTAAAGAACATCATTTCTAGAGCTAATTATATTTAAAACTTTTGGAATTTCTGAATTTATCATTTTATACTCTTCTATTTCTGAGTTTCTCATTTCATTTATTTCAAATTCCAGTTGAAGCCAGCCAGTCTCTGACATGCAAGAAAGACATCTTTTAAAAAAAAATTCCGTAGAAAAAAAAAACATTTTTCAAAAACTTAAGTAGAAAGGAAAACCAAAATTTTTCCCTTTCCAAATGAAAAATCTTCTGCAAAAACTCTTAACGTTCTGCGACAATGTCGCCGCAATTCTGCCACAGGGATCTAAAGATTTTTTTAAAAACCATTATTTATAATTACTTAAACTATTAACACTCAGCCTACTGGAGTACTGGCACGAAATTCAATAAATTTTCCCGCCATTTTTTAAAAATTTTTTTTTTTCCCTCATAAGATTTTAGGATTTTTCTTTCTTTTTGGAAAGATGTTTACCTTAGTATCATTTTTGAAATAATCATTAGTGTATTACTTCGTTTTTTCTTCTTTTTAACATTATTTCCAAATATAATTCTTTTTAGTTGGGTTTAACAATAAAAAAACGGCTTTTTGTAGCGATTCAGAAAACCGGAAAAATTAGTTATCCGGAATAGCGATGGTCCCGATCGTTCCGGATAATCGGTTCCCTACTGTATTTTTGCGATTGACGGATATATTATTGCAAAAATTGTTTTTTTAAAAAAAAATTTCGACAAATAGGGAGAAATTTGAGAATATACGAGTAAACAGGAGATAGTCGTAAAATACAGGAGTCTTCGTTAAAAAAACAGGAGACTTGGCAGGTATGTATTACGTATCTTTCGCATTAAATAGCAACGAAGAAAGAGAACAGATTATAAGCTCTGCAAACATTTAATTGGTAAACAGTAGACTATTAAATAAGAGAACTATTCAGCCAATTTCTGTTAAAACAATTGTGACAAAAACTTATCTTTAAATTTATCTATCAGATGGTTAGCAATGAAGTGGGAAAAATAACTTTAACTTCCTAGTAAAAAAAATTAAAACAGAAATTTGTAGCCACTTTTCTCCTAAGAGGACACCAAACCACAAGAGAAACTTTTTAGCGTGAATTCTTTTTTACTTTCATTGGTGAATTCAAGTCAATTCAGGTAAAGTGAATTCAAGTAAACCTAGAGAAATAATGGAGTTCCAGATGTTGAAAATATGTTTTCAAAATATCAAAACAAATTATTGGAGAACTTCCGCAAAGTAATCCTGTCATAATTTGCTTGCATTTTGAAGAAAAAAAATTCAGCACTTAGAACTTAGGTTTAAGTGAAATCACTAATGAAGAAAGAGAATTTGTATTGAAGGGTTTCTCCTGTGGTATAGTATCCTCTTAAGAACAAAATATGAAAAGGAGCAATTAAATTTCACTCAAGTAATAGTTAAGAAAATTTTCAAATCTTTTAACTACTAAAACATTATATAAATACTACAGTAGGGAACCGATTATCCGGAACGATCGGGACCATCGCTATTCCGGATAACTTATTTTTCCGGTTTTCTGAATCGCTAAAAAAAGCTGGTTTTTTTTTTATTGTTAAACCCAACTAAAAAAAATATTTGGAAATAATCTTAAAAAGAAGAAAAAACAATGAAGTAATACACTAATGATTATTTCCAAAATGATGGTAAGGTAAACATCTTTCAAAAAAGAAAAAAAAAAATTTTTTTTTTTATAAATGGCCGGAAAATTTATCGAATTTCACTCCTATTTTTTTGGTTTTCCGGTTTTCTGATTTCTGGATAACGGGTTCTGTACTGTATCACAATTTACATTCAAAATTTCAAAAACAAAAATGAAATTTTATTAATTAAGAAAAAAAAATTCAAGTTTTTATACTCACTGTACTTCTCTCATATGAGCATCTAGTGCTAACAGACTGTCGGCAAGGAAATTGCACTTGTTACAGGATCTCTTTTTATGACATTCCCACATGTGATTTTCTAAGTCTGAAGCTTCTGTAGACTTAAAATTACATAATACACAACATGTTTTGTAGTGCATTGAAGTATGAAGGCGAAGTGCCCATGCATTAGGACCATTCCATGGACAATAGGCACAATTGTAACTCTTTGGTTGGGAGCTTTGAAATGAAGAATAACCTGGAGGTTTTACAAGAGCATCGTGTAAAATATCCTTTATTGGCGTGTCTGTGTTTCTTACAGGTGTAGGTTTACTAATAGGTTTAGGTGAAAATGCATTCTGAGTTAAAAAAGTGAGTAAGTTACTGTGTGATTTGTTAAAAGTATTGTCATTTTTGCTTTCGTTTAAAAGTGGATCTTTCTTTGAAATATCTGGCATCTGATCGATTTCTCTCTTCACTTGGACCATTGTAGGAGAACCAATTAAACAATTTAACAACTGTGATTGGGTAACAGGTACAGGAGGATTTATCAAGCCGTTCGAGGACCCAGTTATGTCTCGTCCAGCAACAGAATTTAAACCATTTAAAGGACTAACGGGAATCTTACTACGCTTTGAAGGTAAGCGTCGAATTAAATTAATATCGTAATGAAATTCTTTATGAATGCGGCAGAAATGTTTTTTAACATGATCAGCTCTATTAAAAAGTTTATAACAAATATAACACTGAAAGGGCTTTTCTTCACGATGGATATTTTCATGTCTGTTATAAAGATCTCGCCGATCTGTGGCATAAGGACATTTGGGGCAGATATACCTTTTCCCGCTATTTTCAGCGACCCTTTCAACCTTATCCTCGCAATCCACACTTTGTTTCAAATTTTGAAGAATCTGCATTATTTCATCTAATAACGGCTGGTTTTTCCATATAGAGGCAGGGGCATTAGAAACTCCATGGTTTTTACTCATGTGGATTCTAACACACCTCCACCATGCACTGCAATAAGAACATTGAGGACAGTGAAAAACTTTCGCATTACAATGCGTTCCTAAGTAATGCTCGCCAATTCTAGACATAAAACCAACTGCTTGGCACGCAACACAACGAAACATTTTAGTTTTAGGATTGTAGCTAGCAACAGCTGATCTATCCCAACTAAGTTTTTCCTTTGATGTAATCCAAACAGACTTCCCTCCATTTTCAGAAATAAAATTGGGATCGTCAACCAGCGATTTAGGATCGTAGATAATTTCATCACCATCCATTTCATTCTCGGAATTCGGGTATGGCTCAGAACTTAAATCATTTTTATCGTGTTCGGGGGAAGGGGCATCTTTTAGATTAATTACTAAAGGTGAAACTTCTTCCGATTGTACTTCAGTTTTGATAAGCTTGTTTTGATTTTCAATTACTTCTTTCTTCATCTCGATCAATTTTATATCACTTTCAGGAGAATTTGATTCTTTGTCATCAGTTGCTGAAGATTTTTTATGTTCTGTTTTTGAAAATTCATTTTTTTCGTTTGCAAGAATTTTTGATTGAAGAGGAGAAACGTCTGTCCTTTTATGTGATATTTCTCTCTTTTTGAGTAATGTTTCTTTGTTTTTGATTGCAGGTACATCTTTGATTTTAAGTGGTGGCACCTCTTTTTTTGGTTCAGCTGGTGACTTATGAGTGCCATTCTGTGTGACTTTTGTGCCCATTTCAGAAGATATTGATTCAGTTTTAACAGACGTAAAAGATTCTGCTTTGATTTTTGATTTTGGGGGACTAGTTGGTTCCTTTTGATTGGGTTTCTTGCCCAATTTTGTGTAAACAAAATCATTTCGGATGTCATTTTGTAGATGGTTCTCATCATTTGACTTTGCAGTAGACTTCTTTCGGGAATAAGTGAAAACTGATCTTGGCACACCTCGAAATCTAGTATTGTAACGTCTTTCAGAAGTCTTAGTTTCCATTCTTCATTTAATGCTCCATGCCTAAATATTAAAAAATATATCAATTAGTGATATAACAAAAAGTGTAAGATGTAAAATTTTTTACAATAACCAGCACTCAGAATATTTATTTTATTAATACACAATTTTTTGCAGAATAAAAAAATTCGAATTTAATTCTTTTTATTTTATTTCTGAGGCAAGTTAAATAAATTTTAAGATTAACAAAAGTTCTCCCAAGGAATAAAAAAGTGCAGGGTACTTTTTCGCAGAAAAGGGCACTTTGAGTTTTAAAAGGGTTCCTAATGCCGTAAAAATTTACCAAAATGGGTAATAATATGTAATAAATGAATTTGATCCTCAACAATTTTTAAATTACCCTCTTATACTATCTTATGTGTGTATTTCGAAAAATAATTCTCCCTTATTATAAAAATAAGAGAAAAGTTTACAGTTTATAAAATATAATTAAAGGCATGCTAAAAAAAATCTTAGTGGGTAAATTTTTTTCAAAAAAAAAGGTAAACTAAAAAGAAATGATTATTAATAAACAACTTGAAAGCTTTTTTTTTTTTTTTTTTTTTTACAATTTAAACTGAAAATTACGAGAAGATGAGCATTTAAACAACCTTTTTTTTAAAAAAAATTATAAAAATTTAAAATCTTTTGATAAATTCATCAATAATTAATCTTAATAATTAATAATAATTAATATCTTTTGATAAATTTTCAAATTCCTCCCCCGAAAAAAAGAGAGAAACTTACAAAAATTTTACCAGTTGGTAATAATTCTGAAAAAATAAATATTTGTTATTTTCGGTTACTTTGCGTAATTAAAGTAAGCAAATCTCGTTTATTATAGCTCATACTATTGGAATAGAGGTAAAATATTTTTAGTGTCTTTCGGCATAATGTTATTGCATGTGGCAAATTCATGATAGCTAAAATTTAATACTATTAGGCGATTTTCTCTGGTATTTATCCCTTTCAAGGGGCCATGAAACACTAATTTTCAAGCCTTAGTAATAAAACTGCTTAATATTAGTGCAGTTTTAATATTTACTAAATATATCAATATAATATTCTATACCTATATTATTATATTTGGTATTTATTACATAATACTTCAACATTTGAGTTTTGTATGAATACATTTGTCAATGGTAACGAACAACTTTATTTTTACACAAAAAAAATAAAAAATAAAATACAATTCTTATTAGAGCTTGATAAGGATTTTTGAGAATGACCATTTCTCTATCTGACCCTTAATTTACTGTTAAAATATTTATAAATAGAGGTAGGTTATAATAAAGGTTAATTGAAAATTTCAATTATTTAAATGCAATATTTTGCAACAAAAAAATACATAGAAAACTATAAAAAAAAATTAAGAAAAATGTTTAACATTTCCTATAGCTTAAAATTGACGCTTATCAATAAAACAATGGTTTCAATTTGTTTTTTCATTATTTAAAAGACTTGAAAGAAACTTTTAAGCTTAACACATAAAAGTTTGTATTTAATAATAAAAAATTTTACATCAATTAAATATCGTACACAATGCAAACTTGCAATGAAATAAAGTAAAAACTAACATTATGTGATTTACTGAAAAAATTCCAAAACTAACACTATTATCAGGAAAAAAATAGAATTAAACCAGCACAGGTTAATAAAATTTTGTGCAAATTCCACCTAGCAAAATAAGGAAAAAATTTTAAAACATCATTTCAGGGGTAATTCATAGCAAAGATATTTTGCAATACTAATAAACTAATTTAAAATTAAATTTATAAATTTCATCAAAATTAATTTTGAACAATATTTTTTTTTAAATTTCCTAAACATTAATTTTTTAGAGTTAAGTATCAAAATTTACTTTTCCAATATTTCTGATAATAAAAAAATTATTCCGTATAAATAATACATAATTAATTTTTTTAAGCACAGAAAAAAAGCTGTAACAATACCGTAAAATAAATATCACAACAAAAAATTATCACGGCCATTGTTTACATTCGTTAAACATGTGACTTTCAAATCGATCTCATTAAAATATGTATCATTTAAAATAAAGTTTATGCAATTAAACTTCTTCAAAATAAAGGAATGAACAAAACAAATTTCCACAGTGAATATATTTATTATTTTAAGCAACAGCATGTTAGAATACTTTTGATTAGTCAAATCAAATATTAGTTACGGAAAACACGCCCACTTAAGAGCAGACGATAATTTCCGAGTTGCGAGGGAAATTGTAAACAAATCACAGTGGAATCATGGAACAAGCTATAATGAAACATTCCACACAAAAAATTTAAGCTCAATTTTTTTAGACATTTACTTGAATTATTGTGAACATTGTGGACTAGATCGAAAAAAAAGAAAACGATTTTTAAAGGGGGTGAATGGTGTACACGTATACACACCACTAGCAACCGCTACACTGAACAGCCCATCCCTTTCGACGAACACGCACTCCACTAAGCCTAAAAAATTTCGAAACTTGTATCACAAGGGTAAAAAAGTACTTACTACTACAGAGTTTCTGTTGATATAATTTAGCTTGGAATTGTGCTCAGGATGTGTAGTTATCACATAGATGTAGATTTCAAATCCAATAATTATCGTCAACTAATATTTGATATATGGGAGGAACGCAAGGCCAGGGAGGCCTAGCGCTAGACTTCAGACGACGCCGTCCTTCGTCCTTTCTCCATTTCGCGCCCCCTCTCTCTCACTCTCTTTCTCTCGCCGATCCCCGACCCTCTTTCGCAAAACCACTACACTACTTCCCTAGAATGGGGGCATTTCTCCTTCTCCCCATACCCATGAGCACATGCGCGCTCGACTGTAACCTTTGAGCTGGGGAAAATCATGAGATGGGCTTTCAACAAGACATTTTTTTTTCTATCTCTCTCTACGAGGGAACACTTTTCCAAACAAATCTAATGAACTTAAAACTTAGGAAGTTTTTTTTTCCCTTCTACCAAGTGCAGCGGATTATAGATAGAGTTAAGGAAGCTAGGAATGAGGACACAAACTCATGACAACATTTTCTTCTCATTATCGTCTTCATTCTCGAATCTACTGTACTCTTTATTTTACTATTAACAAATGCTACTTGTTTTATTTATTATTATTTCAACGCAGTAATAAAAATTAACTCCCATTACTGATAATAAATGCTATAAGAGAATTGTCTTTTTCTTAAAAGTAAGAGTTGTTTTCTTAGAAAGACTGCCAGCTGTTATTGCGCGGGAGAAGAAAAAAAAGTTTTTTTTTAAAGCAGATGTATCATCTGCTTTAAAAAAAACTATGTATGAAAATTTATGTGGTAGAATTTGGCCATTAATTACTTAGTTATTGTTCCGATCAACATCTCCATATGGAATATGCCATCTAATAGTTAAATCATACAGCTAATGAGCAACGTTTAGAACATTCACTCGTTAAAGAGAAGAAAACGTTTTCGAAAGTTGGTAAATTTGTTAACCTATCTAAAAATAACCTAACGATAATTACAAAACAATGAAGTTGGTTATAATGCTTATATGAGGATCAGCATAATGGGGACAAGAGCGCAGTAAGAATTGCAGGTCTCATTAATGTTCTCTGTTCAATTTTTTCTTCCAAAACTGTTAAATAAAATATTAATTTTCTGTACAGAACTTAAAAATATCTCATTCTCGTACACCTATTTATTATTTACTTGGGTGGTTACAAAATTAAAATGAGAAGAAAATGCACAGAATCCATTCCATTTTTCCATTTTTTTTTTGAGAAAAAAAGGCAATAAAAAAAGTATTCCGAAATATAAATTGTACTTGATTATAATCGTCTGCGTCTGAACCTTATTATCGGCATTGTTAACATTATTATGAATATTAAAGGTGTAACATTATTAATATTTACCCTATCTCGGTAACATGCACGATAATATCAAATGCAAGAATTAACTTCCATGATGCTGGCACGGTAATAAAACTCCTTAGTAACTCAATAAGATCAGTATTGGACAGGACTTGGCGAACAAAGAGCACGTAGTACGAGAGTATCCTTTGGCCAAGGGACAGGATATGACAAATAGTTTTTTTCTTTTTGAAAAGAACATACTTTATTATCGAAGAAATATCAAACATTGTCAAGTAGGAGGGTGTGACACATGAAAACATCTTAAAAAGTGCAGGAATGTTTAAAATGTGTAATGGTGTTGGTGCACTCAGAATTATAAAATCGTGCTAATTTGCGGCAGGCTATCAAGTTGAATAACACTGCTGCCAAACTTAACATGAAATAACTTAGATTCAACTTTACGCTTTGTTAAGGTCTCAGCAAATGAGCGCAAAATAATGGTTTTAAGTATCGATATCATGGTTCACATCAGGGTTATCACGGCCGATCGCCATTGCTTCAAATCGCAAAAAAAAGTCTCATTTGTCGACCGAACGAAAGCTTAATCTCGTCAAAATGCAAGAATAACAAAAAGAATTTTTTTTTTTTTTTTTTTAGTTGATTNTTTTTTTTTTTTTTTTTTTTTTTTTTTTTTTTTTTTTTTTTTTTTTTTTTTTTTTTTTTTTTAGTTTTTCACTGATGAGCTAAATTTGCGTTCAAAAAAGAAAAATTAAATAGGAATAAAGAAAGGGACATTTCGAACAAAAGATTCGAACCCCTCTAGGAATTAGTACTATTTTGAAACGGCGTTTGGAATGAGTGTTACAAAAAATAGTCGAAGAATACTTGAAAAATAAAATATTTTTTAACGTTACATATTATATATATTCGTGATTTTTTTTTTTTTTTTTAGAACTCGTTTCGTAGTAAGCATAAACCGAAACTGACTAGATCAGTAACTTGAAGGGGGAAGAGGGGTCAGAATTAATTTCGCTGACATTTTTTATGCCAAGCGTCATTTTTCTTAAACTGGTTCGTTATGACTATTAATTGCAACAGATTATCAAACTAAAGCTCACATATATTCTCGTAGTTTTAAACTTGAGTAAATTTGTAAAAATTGAACATGTAATTCAATTGTGAGCAAAAACAGTCTAAAGAAATGTGTGCACTTAGGGATGACTTTTGGACTATATACAACACGTAACACTTAACTACTATGTTATCTTTAACGCGTCGTTAAATCCTTAATAACTGAACTACATAACATATAATATAGCATCCTGCTTGTCACGTGACAACTAAAAAGAAAGGGTAAATAGGGGGGTATATTTTTTCCTAAAAAATAAGGAGCATGTGAATTTTTCAAATGTAGGCGAAATCCAGGATCAGGAATTTTCAGAACAAGGGGGGCAATAGAAACCATTTTAGCTAGGAGGGATGTTTAGAGATCATCTCCAGACTGCACTTCAACGCCCCCGGATAGAAAATCCTGGTGTACGCCCCCACTTTCTATCGATCTGGCCACCTCTGTGTCACAGTTACAAATAGCCAATGAAGAAGTACCCTACCCACCACTGTCTCCAAGTTTCGGGCGAATTTGAGACAGGAGTTAAAATCAAACCAGGTTTAAATAAATCCATAACAGTAGAGAAACTTTTATAAACAAGCCATTTTTTAAAAAAAAAAATTCATAAATAGAATACTTGAAATCATGCTTCATTTTTCTTTTTTCTAATGCACATGTTCCCTGTATAGGAAGAAGATGCCAAAAAAAAAAATGTAAGTGACAAATAGCTATGGAAATTATACAAATATTAAAAAAATGTAAGTGACAAATAGTTATGGAAATTATACAAATATTAAAAAAATGTAAGTGACAAATAGCCATGGAAATTATACAAATATTAAAAAAATGTAAGTGACAAATAGCTATGGAAATTATGTAAAATATAAAAAAATGTAAGTGACAAATAGCTATGGAAATTATACAAAATATTAAAAAAATTCGCTTTAGGGGAGCGAATTCACATCTTATAATAAGTAGTTTTCTGATAATTTTATGAATATGGATGGTGTTGTTACTGTTGTTTGTGAATCGTTGAAGGAAAAAGAGGGTTTCGACCAATGAAATGATTCCACAATAAAGTGAGGTCTTTCTAGGGAGCCCCCATCTTAAAAATTGGATAATTATTTTAGGGGGAAAGGCATATTTCGCGGGAGAATGTCACGGAGATTAGGAACGCCACAGCTTCTGGTGGACCTTGTGCCCAACAATAGAAATAAGTTAAAAAATGAAACCCAGCCAGGAAAAATATCCACAAGGGGTCGTTCAAATATTACTGAACTATAAAGAGGAGTGAAGAAGTTTACATGCTTGTCTATTAAAGCATATCTCTAACTTCTATAGATATGCTTGTTTTTCAACATAGAGATAGAAGATATGCTTGCTTTTTATTATTGTTGACAATTAAATATTACGGAAGCATCTAAAAGGGGAATATTATTAATTTCAGTTACAAAGAGATGAGGCGTGAGACATTAGAATCACCTTATTATAAAATCTTGGGTTTATGTGCAAAAATTTAATTTAAAAAATGGTTTAAAAAAAAAGCATTAAATAAATTCTACATTAGCATAATAATGCGCTTAATTCATTTCTGTTGAAAAGTGATCAAATCACTATTCAAAATCGCAACGAGTATACCCAAGATGCGATTGAATTTATCTTTCCCTTTCAATTTATCCGTTAAAACTCATTATCTAGGCCAGCGGTTCCCATTTTTTCTGGCAATGGAACCCTAAATGAACGAGCTTCTGTAAGCGGATCTATGATTTTATAAAAAATAAAAAAAAGTTTCTTAGCAGCTGAGAATATGCTAACAAAAAAANAAAAAAAAAAAAAAAAAAAAAAAAAAAAAAAAAAAAACACTAATTTAAAAAAAAATAACAAGAAGAAGAAGAATTTTGTTTCGAAGATTGAAACATTTTAAATTATGAATTTTTTCTTGGCGTATGCGTGTTGAAAATTAATAAAATAAGTTGAACTATGGTGTTCAAAAAAGAACGGGTTGAGAACAGTTATCAGGATCAAATCTCCTTTCTTGAGTTTAGATATTTTATTTTGCTACCTATTTTTCATTAGCATTTTACATAAATAATTTCATATAAACAATTAAAATACATCATAAAATCTGAATTATTGATTGCATATAATGAATATTATGAAATTTCGTAAGCAAACAAAATATAACAGTCACTAAATATCTTGTTTGCATCATTCAAAATTATAATTAACAACATGAAATTATAATTAAATATGAATATCACTTTTTAAATAGAATGTTATTGAAAAATATTTTATTAAAGCAGTATTCCGTTTTTTGTTACCATTATAAAAAGCAACCGATATATTTAGTATCGTTCTGACAGTTAGAGTTTCGTGTTAATTCATTAAATTGTACTTATACAACTCTAATTTTAATCAGATTCTGTAAAAACACACATTAAAAGGGTCAAGCGTATTTTTTAAACTGCCCCTTTATTTATTTACTTGTCACGAAAAAATTTTTTTTTCGTTTTTTGGTTAATTAAGAACCCTGGGCATAATATTCAGAGATTATAACTACGAAATGAAATATAATTTCATTACAAAAATATACACGGTATACAGTATAAATTATCAGCAGTAAAATACGGGAATTATTGAGGCAAAAAAAAAATAATAATTAAACATATTTGAATAAGAAAGCATATTTTTAATACTAAAAAAAAAACATTCGAAAGTGAATTTAATGCCATACTATATAAAACTTAGGTTAAAAAAAATATACACTTGCACTTTAACAAAAAAAAAAGACCCATTTGTATATTTTTGCAAAATGTACGAAAATATGTACTTTTAACAGAAATTAATTTCAATCAGTAAAATAATAATTTTAATTTAATCAGTGAAACGTCAGTTTAATTTAACCAAATCAGTAAAATCAGTTTAGTTAATCAGCTTAATTTATTGAGTAAAATGTACGAATTTTTATGACAAAAAATTAAATGTTAAAATAAAAATTCCAATTTCTTTAATGTTGAAAAACTGTTTGAAAGAAAAAAAGAGTACCATAATAAAAGTACATAAAACCTAAGTAAAAAAAATATATATAAACTTGAATTTAATTATCAAAATTTTCCCAGCTTTCAACTAAAACAGAAAAAGGGAGCATATAAAAAAAATCGCTTTCACTTTTCAAAAGTTCATTCATTTTATTCACCTTCCATCAGAACAGAAGTTAGCAGGCATTT